AGACACGGGGCGACAGGGCCAGCCCGAAGGGTAAGACTTTGTACTGATATGCCCGTCCCTCGAACGCAAAGCGAAGAAACGGTCTGTGTCGAGGGAGAATCGAGACATGAAAGTACGCGTCCTTCAGGTCGATCGCTGCAAACCAATCTTGGGGACGGATGCATTTGAAAATGCGTCTCTGCGTAAGCATCTTGAATGGTAGCCTGTGCAGGGACCGATTCAGGACGCGCAGGTCCAAGATTGGTCGTAACCCACCTCCTTTCTTGGGTACAATGAAGTACGGGCTGTAGAAGCCGGTCTTCATATCGGCTGGAGGGACTGGCTCGATTGCGTCCTTCGCCAGTAGGACTGCAATCTCCGCCCTGAGAACAGGGGCACTGTCCGCCAGAACACGGGTGAACAGGATGCCCCTGAAAGCAGGGGGGCGCCGGGCGAACTGAATCGCATAGCCGAGTCTGATGGTACGGATGAGCCAGCGAGACGGGCTGGGAAGCGTTAACCAAGCTCCCAGAGACCGAGCAAGCGGGACCAACGGCACCACAGACGTACCCAGAGTGGGGCAGCGTGGCGGAATGCAGGGACCCAACTCGGACGGCACAGCGGCCCGAAGTGGGGTCTGAACGTGTGGTGCAAAACGTACCTGCTTCCGTCGAAGGGCAGAGTGAGTGTGCGGAGGCGATACTGCGTCCAGGACACAGCCACTGCTGCCCGCTGGCGATGAAAGAGGGGCTTGGGAGTGACAAGACATCGCGTCGTCGACTGCCAAGCGCGCCCTCTTGGGGCCCAGAGGTTTCAGAAATTGCTCTTTTATTGAAAAGGTGGGTAGCACTGACCCGTGGGTCAGTGGCGGAACAAAAAGAAAAGGGAACAAAAGATTCTCCGCCCGGCCCTCCACCGGGGGAAGGAGTGGCTCGTCCGCCATCTCCTGAAGAGCAACTTGATCCACCTCTGGGCCGCCCGTCTCAGGGTCGTTTGCACCGACGCTTACCTCCTGGATCGGTAGCGGCCTGGACTGGCGGGGTCGGCTTCCTGCGGCTTGCTCCACGCCGAGGCCTGGATGATGGCTGCTGCTGGGGCTTAGCGGGAGCGGAGGACGCTGCAGGAGGCCGACCTCGGCGACGAGTAGACGGAAGGGCTGCGGCCGGCGGGCGGGTGGGAGCAGCAGCGGTCCGCCGGGGCAGGATGTGTCGGATGGCCTCCGTCTGCTTCTGTGCGGCCGAGAACTGCTGGGCAAAGCTCTCGACCGCGTCGCCGAACAACCCAACCTGGGAGAGAGGGGCATCCAGGAACCGATACTTATCGGTGTCCCTCATGTCCGCCAGGTTGAGCCAAAGGTGGCGCTCCTGGACCACCAAGGTGGACATCGCCTGACCGACTGAACGTGCGGTTTCCTTCGTCGCCCGGAGGGCGAGGTCGGTTGCCACACGGAGCTCCCGGAGGAGCTCTGGGTCAGAACCAGCCTCGTTCATGTCCATGAGCGCCTGGGCCTGGTGGACCTGCAAGAGCGCCATGGCATGAAGAGCGGAAGCAGCCTGTCCACAGGCCTTGTAAGCCCTCGCCGTTAGACCGGACGAGAACCTACAGGCCCTGGACGGGAGGCGTGGGTCACCCCGCCAGGAGGAGGCGGATGCCGGACACAACTGCATCGCGACAGCCCGCTCCACTGGGGGGATCCCCACATACCCCTTAGCTGCCCCGCCGTCGAGGGTGGCGAGGGGAGAGGAGCCACTAGGACGGCTTCGGGCACTATACGGTGCCTTCCACGTCTTAGAAAGCTCCTCATGCACCTCCGGAAAGAAAGGTACCGGGGCGGCGCACTGAGAACCAGCACGGCCCGCCCCGAGAAACCAATCGTCCAGCCGAGAAGGTTCGGGACGTGGTGGAGGATTCCACGCAAGCCCGACCTTCTCGGCGGCCCGGGATAGCATAGCGGCCCATTCTGGATCCGGCTCGGACAACGCTACACACCCCGAAGGGTGCAACGCAGCCGAGTCGTCATCTCCAGATGACCGCTCCCCCTCCGATGCTGTGATCGACATCTGATCGTCAGCTGGTGCCCCAAAGGAAACGACTGGTCGTTCCGGAGAAGGACCGAGCCGTTCGCAAAGGGGCGCCGATGGCAACAGCACATGAGAGGCGTGAGGGGCCCGCGGAGATTGCCTCGGCGGGGAAGCCCTCACGGTAATCCTCAGATCACCCTGGTCATGCGCCGAAGTAGGCCTATTCTGCGGGGCAAAATAAGCACTAGATCGGGGCATAGGCGAGGGGACTGCACCTCCCTTGAGGTAAGCGAGTCTCGACCTTAGTGCTGCGATAGTCATATTCCCGCAATGGGAACATGAACCATCCACAAAAGCTGCCTCAGCGTGCTGAATGCCCAAACACGAGATGCAGCTATTGTGACCATCTGCTGGCGCCAGGGAACGACGGCATCCAGAAACGCACAAGCGGAATGACATCTTGAAAAAGACGCAGGGTCCGCTTGTGTTGCTCTTTTAGTAAAAATAAAAAAGGAAATTGCTCTCACAGTGCTGAGGCGCCCAGGGGTAGCCACTGTGTGGACACACACACACACACACACACAAACAAAAGTGCTGTGAGAACAGCAGTTGAGAGCTGCACTGCTCGCGGCCACCGCTGATCGCGCCGTCACACCAACACTGGAACAGAGATCTTCCTCGAGTCTTCAAAAGGCGTTGAATCTCAGACACACAGTCACAGGAAACTCGCGCTCCGAAATGAAAGACGGTGTGTGCTCGCGCCCGCTTCCTGTTTTATACCCGCGCTGCGGGGCGGGGGCGCGTGACGCGTTCACGCATGCCAACGTTCATTGGCTTGTTCTTAGATACTCGAAGTTGATAGGGCTCCCTGAAGTGATCCCCTAACGTCGTCACGTCGACGTCACGTCGAACGTGAGCGACTGAAGGGGAACTGACCTTTCAGGCCATTGCCATTGGTGACATCATCATAATATGCAGTCTTGAACTCTTTTTCTATTAAGATATAATAAGTTTTAGTATTGTGAACAGTTGAATTAGTGTTAAAATATGTAAATTAATTATTTTACAATTGTAAATCAAATTATTGATTTGAAGCTTCTTCAGCTCTCTAACCTGAGAGAAGCTCATCAGCATCTTCATACCCAGAATGCAGTTCTTCAGAGACGAGACTTCCTGTTAAAGAAGAGCAAAACATTCAAAAACATGTTTATTATTCCAAACAGATTGAACCCTCCTTTTCTTTGGATCATAAAGCATTGTTACTTACAACAAAACACAAATATTAATTACTTACATTTTAAAAGCATTAGAGGCAGAAATCTTAAGTTTTAGGCCTATTAGCAAACACACACGTGTCCTCACATGAACCCTCACTGCCTTCCAGAAATACACACAGGAGGAGAGACAAACACACACACACACACACACACACACACACACCTGCACCTACTTACAAACATGAACCCCTCCTTATAACCCTCAAAATACTCACAGGAAGAGACACTCACTGACACACACACACACACAAACACACACACACACACATGCACCTGCAGCTCTGTGGTTTTCTGAGAGGAATTCTGTGGTTTAAAGCCAGAGGTTTAACAGGACTAATAATAGATGAACATTAAGTGTCAGACAGACTCTGTTATTAATCATATTAAATAAGTTTCATGTCTCACCTCTCTGAGTGAAGTGATTGTGTCTGTGATGAATCTCCTCATAAACGGCCTCAGTCGTCGTCCTGTGTCTCCTCTTAGAGAGAGCTGTGAGTGTAGACAGACAAACCTGCTGTCAGTTCACAACACATGACTGATCACACACTGAATAAGACACAATATGAGTCTCTGGATCTCTCCTACCTCTCCTCATCACTCTGTTCTGCTGAACCAGTATAAGCAGTGGCACTAAGAGCAGTAAGAGCAAAACTCCCAGTACAACCACAAGCACAGAGAGAGACGCTGCTGGAGGAGTTTGTGGAGGAGTGACTGATGTTGAGCGCACTGTCTGAGAAACTGGAGGAGAAGCTGATGTTGTTGTGGCAGGAGTAGTGGACACTGACAAATCTGGCAAAACAGACACAAACACATTAAAAATCCTGCAAATAGACAAAGATTATTAGCATTTAAATGACTTGGTCAGTGTGTTGCTGTGACCTGCACATGTGAGTCCAGCGAGCTCTTTGTGAGAACAGTCAGTGTGGTTCTTCAGGGAGAGAGGACAGTCCCACAGGTGAATCTCATTCCCTCTGCACTCGAACTCTGTTCAGCCACACAACACCTTCACCAGCACCAAAGACTGAATTCCCATCAGCCCTCAGTGCGTCTCCACAACCCAGCTGCCTGCAGACCACCTGAGCATCGCTGATGTCCCACAGATCAGCACAGACTGAACCCCACACAGCGTTATGATACACCTCCAGCCTCCCAGAGCACCGGCCCAAACCTCCACTCAGTCTGAGAGGAACATGATCTAAAACACACTGACCAGCTTCAGCACTACATTTACAACAAAATACAGAAACTTAACTAAGACGGCTTTAAATGTATGATTAGTTAATTACATTTATGAATTTGATTATGATTTTTAAATACAAATAAATTCTTGTTTAAATGCACATTTTAATCATTTATTAGGAAAACAGGCTTAAATTAACAAATGTTAAACAAATTTATTGACAAAAATCTTACTTGAACACTGTCTCTGGTGAGGAGATGGAGAGGTGGAACATGTCAGACGACTCCGAGAAGACTCAGGATTTTCCTCCTCTGAGATTAAATATTAAGAGAACTGAACATTAGGACACAATAATCATAACTTCTCTCAGTGAAACATATCAATGTGAAAACATATCATTTAAGCCTCATAAGACATTTTAGGCTGTTCTTCAATAAGTTTAGTTCTTCAGACACAGTTTATTTCACCACATTATATACAAACATTGTGTTTAAAGAAACATAACTACTGAAATCATCTTAGGTTATTTAAACATAATCTCACTTGAGCAGGTGATTTTGGCCACTTCATCATTATTACAGTAGTTCTGTCCCCAGGGTAAAGATGGACACTGCCACAGATTTGAATCATGTTTTCGACATTTCACTTCATCCAGCCAGTTACGAGCTGATTCCAGTCTTGGTGTAGAAGAGGATTCAACACCAGATCTTCCACAGTTCAGCTCCTGACAGATCAGACTCGCTGTGTCTCTGTCCATCTGGTTCCAGCACACATTTCCCCAGGATCCATTGTAGAAAACCTCCATATTCCCTTCACAGCCCTCAGTTAACCTGATCTCTTTAAACTCTAGATGGAAAAGGATGTGCATTCAAAATATTGGACTTTAGGTTGTGCTAAACCTAAAATATCACCAAAATAACTGGTTAATACAAGGCTAATGCATGCTGCTAGCACTGTTACACTGAAAACACTAATAAGTTGATTGAACTCAATTGATTTGAGTAAACCTGTTCCCTCAATTTAATTGAGTAATGAGGTCTTCCAAAAAGGTGCATATTTAAGTGTACTTAACTTGGTGCTTATGTAGACTTACAATTAAATTACAATTAAATTAAACAATTAAATTGTTTAGTTCACCAAACTTGACGATTATTGAATGTACTTAAACAATAAAGTTCACTTAACTTAGTGTTGATTTCAAGTGTAGCATCTGAAAAAGATACTTAATTATATTTTTATAATATAATAAGAATCTTATGTACTGTACTACTTGATTCTGCTTGGTCCATAAAAAAAATATATTTAAAAAGTGGCATCCATGGCAGCGCTGACTATCAGACCATCGATACAGTAAGATGGTCTTTGGTGCAAAATGTGACCCATCCGCTCCTGATGATCCTGGTGTTTATTTTGCAATAATTACCAGCTGCACATTATCCCTTTAAACATTTGAAATTGTATATTTAAAAATCAATCACATTACTTTACAGTTTACCTGAACACACGACTCCTACATCCTCCTTGTGTTGACAGTCATGTTTCCCCCAGCCTGGAGAAGAGCAGTTCCACAGGGACGTCTCATTCCCCTCACACTCCACCTCATCCAGCCATATGGGTCCAGAACCAGGACCAAACCAGGCTGGTACCTGCTGGTTACTGAGGGCCACTCCACACTGCAGCTGTCTGCACACCACATGGGCATCTTTAATATCCCAGGAGTCATCACACACTGTCCCCCATGAGCCGCTGTGAAAAACCTCCAGCCTCCCTGCACAGTCTCCCCCAGAACCCACCAGCCTGATGGACCCGCGACCTGATATTCAGAGAGAGAAAAACAGTGCTTGTACATTATTTATCATCAACTAAAGTATCTGCCCAGATGTTGATTTTCTCACCAAAGTTTTTGACTGACAGCTGTTGTGTGGAGCTGCAGTTGAGAGTTTGTGGAGAGCTGCAGTTCCTCAGATGAGCTTCACTCTCTGGAGAGGGTATTTATTTGTCATTCAGTATTTATCTAAAATACATACTATTTTATACATTTTACATCAATACATTTTAATCTGAAACAATGACTTCATCACGGTGTGAATTTGCTCACCAGAGCAGACGACTCCCACATCTCGTCTATGAGAACATTCAGCTCGACTCCATGAAGAGACGGAACATTCTGAGAGTTTTGTTTCATTCCCGTCACAATCAAACACATCAGCCCAGATTTCACCACTTCCCTCTCCAAACCAGTCTGATCCCACAACAGACACAGCAATCCCACAATTCAGCTGTCTACAGAGGACACTGGCAGCTCTCATATCCCAGCATGCATCACACACTGAGCCCCATTCATTGAGGAACCGAAGCTCCACTCTTCCAGAACAAGAGTCTGAGCCGTTTACCAGTCTGAGATCTGTGTAACCTGAATAAAGAACAGAGAAGTTAAAATAGTGCAGCTGACAAAGAAGAATGAAGAGAGACAGAATATTGATAATTTACCAGAACAGATCAGGCCCACATTATTGTCACTGGTGCAGTTGTGTTGGTGTGATGATGATATTGAACAGAGGTGAATCTGAGACTCATTTCCTCTGCACTGAATCTCTTGTGTCCACATCTGAGCGTCTCCTTTGCCAAAAGCATCTTCTCCCAGCACCTGTACAGGAGCCCCACAGTCCAGCTCTCTACACACAACCTCTGCATCCTGCTGGTCAAAGGCAGTGTCACACACTGTGTACCAGGTGTTCCCATGATTCACCTCTAATCTCCCAGAACACAGGTGAGACCCATCAGAAAGTCTGGGTTGTTTATGATCTGTTTGTATTAAATAAAACCATACAAAAAAGATTTATTTAGAGTGGTAGGTTTAAGAGTTTGTTTATGAATAACAACATTAAGTTTTAAATAAATAACATGTATATTATGCCAATTAGTAGGAAAATGGCTAAATAAATATCGCCGGTTAGACACTGAAGCCCAGCCGCCTATAGAAACATCTCCACTCTCCCAGAACACAGGTGAGACCCGTACACAAGCTTGACCTTCCGTAGTTTATTGTTTCTGAATATATTTACACAATAAGACCATCTGTTACTAGGATTATGATATGGACATAAAATAATATCCTTTCATTAATAATAGATTTTATAAATAGATACAATTGCGTTGTTAAGACAATAAAATATACTATTCATTAATTAGTATGCTTATGATTTGCTCTGACAAAAAAAATTACATTAAATTATTTTCAATTGCTTATAAGATGTTTATCAATGAAAGTCTGATCAGTGATGCATTAACAGAGTGATGTATGGAGCCGCTCACCTGTGCAAATGACTCCAGCATCTTCAGTATGATCACAGTTATGAACACCCCATCCTCTTGATCTACAGTTCTTCAGTGTTGACTCTGATCCACTACAGCCCACAGCATCCATCAAGATTGGTCCTGATCCTTGTCCAAAGTGAGCATTACGCACAGCCTCTACAGCCTCTCCACATCCTATCTCTCTACACACCACTCCAGCATCAGTCATATCCCAGCCATCATCACACACTGTTCCCCACTGACCATCATGATGAACCTCCACTCTACCAGCACAGGGACTGTTCCCACCAACTAACCTCACAGTCTCAAAATCTGTACATGAAAGAGAGAGAAAGGGATCGAATCATCCAAAGTCAAGAAACATAAGATGTAAAAAGTTGGTAAATATAAATATAATATATTAAAACTGGGGATGATTGAATAAAAAATCGGTTGCCAGTAAAAGCTCAAACCATTTGTAAAATGTAATTGATAATTAATGATATAGTGTCACAAGATCTTAAGTTTCTAGATATTATAATGCTTCTATTTGTAATATTCTGCTTCAGTTTCTAGTGGTCTAATGCCATCACAGACAAACTGCTTATTTAAAAAAGTAATATTTTACATCTTAAGTTTATTTTGTACTTACCAGATGTGTTTATAGTGACTATAGAGGAGAGTAAAACGAGTGTCAGAAATCCCTCCATCTTCTTCTGCTCGTCACACTGTTTGTTTGACTCTGTTTGTCCTCTGCTCCCTCACTGAAGAAACTGGCTCCTGTCAGTCCCCTAAAGAGAGAGAGACTCTCACAGCTGCCAATGACACTCACTGTTACCTTATTAGACACAACAGAGGAAATCATCAAACATAATCACTGACAAATCACAAAGCAGCATTTTTATTTTCTCCATATATATCAATAAAGTGTGAGCGCTGATGAGCGGGACTCCTCCTCCACCATGAAAAGACACTTCACTCAGGATAGAATCATATATTTGATAAGACAGGATGGAGATAAAGTCACACAACTTAAGGAGATTGATACAAAAACACTACAGGTTATATTCAGCATCAAAGCCTGCACCTGCACACAGGAGATACAAGAGGTGACTGATTTATGTAAGTCTAATCACTTCAACACTTGTAACTTAGTAGAAAACTTAGTAGAAGTAGCATTTTTTTTCATGAATTATTTGAATAAATGTAACATTTTAATCTCATTGTTTCTGGATAAATTATGCATAATATTATACTATATGTGGAATTTACTGCTTTGTTCTTTATTCTAAAAACAAAATTTTATTACACCATAGTTAAAACTATATTGTTGCTAAGCTATTCAGATGTGTTTTTATTAAATAAATTAAATATGATCTACTACATAAATAGGTAAACCTATTTAAAAAAAAACAGCAATGAATGTGCGTGTAATGCTGTATTTGTCCAGCAGATAGCAGCAAAACTCTTGTAAAGACTCTAGTGTTCCACATGAGGGAGAGTGAACGGATTTCAGGATGGCAATCAATGGTTTTTCTTAACCTTTAGCAACATTATAGTAACTTGTTTCACTTGTTTCACTTGATCGGCGGCAGTGGCTCAGTGGTTCATGTGGGTTGTCTACAAACCGGAAGGTTGGTGGTTCAATCCTCGGTTCCACCTGACCAAGTGTCGAGGTGTCCATCCATGAGCAAGACACCTAACCCCGGCTGCTCCCGACGAGCTGGATGGCGCCTTGCATGGCTGCCGTCGCCCGTCGGTGTATGAATGAGTGTGTGAATGGGTGAATGTGAGGCAAATGTAAAGCGCTTTGGTGGCCATTGGCTCTGTGAAAGCGCTATATAAATGCAGTCCATTTACCATTTGATCTGCTGTTGGGCCATTCCACCGAATAGGTGACATTTGCTTGTTTGTTTGTTTGTTTGTTTATTAATTTATATAGCACAATTTAATAGCCTACAACTGACGTTGCCCAAAGTGCTTCACAATAACAGAATAACAAACACAGAGCAATAGAATAAATAAACATATCACATAAAAAGGACGCATAGACAATAACCCGGTTAAAATAGCTCTCCATTTGAGTTTAAAAGATGTTGTTTTAGCATAGCTTTGAAAATGGATAGTGTTTTGACAGATCTAATTGATTGAGGGAGGTCATTCCATAGTTTTGGACCTGCTCGAGAAAAAGCTCTATCACCCCTATGTTTATATTTAGTCCTGGTAGAACAAAGCAGTTGTTTATTTTCAGATCTCAAGGATCTAGAAGGGGTGTAAATTTCCACCAGGCTGGATAAATACACTGGAGCTAAGTTGTGCAGGGCCTTAAAAACTAGTATAAGGATCTTATAAGTAATTCTACATACTGGCAGCCACTTTAGTGAAATTAATAGTGGAGTCACAGAATCATATTTCTTTGCCGACTTTATCATTTTAGCTGCAGCATTTTGGATTTTCTGTAGGCGCACAATTGCTCCGGCATCAACACCATAAAAAAGGGAGTTACAATAATCCATTCTGGAAAAGACAATGGACATAATGGCTTTCTCAAAATCTGAAATAGATAGAAATGGTTTAGTCAGCTAACAGACGTAAGCTAAGAAAACAGGATCGCACCACAGAGCTAATTTGCCTGTCCAACTTTAAATCACTATCCAGAACAAATCCCAATTTTTTTACACTAGATTTAACAAAACCATTTAAAGAAGTTGTATTCAAGCACTGCAGCACGTCATGTTTTTTAGGGCCAAACACGATGACATATGTCAGTTTTATTTTCATTAAGCTTCAAAGAGTTTGCAGCCATCCACTCCTTAACATCATGTAAGCATGCTAATAAAGTATCAAGTGAATTTGAATTTAATTCTCTCACGGGCAGATAGATCTGCGTATCATCAGCGTAGCAGTGAAATGACATTTTATGTTTCCGACATTTTATGCTTGTTGTATAACTTCAAAATTAAACTTTATTTTTAAATATTTTTTTCAACAATGAATCTAATACTACACACATTTAACTATTCAAAATGTGTATTGGTCAATCTCAGGTAACTTTATTTTTTTTTACAAGGTTTCTAAGCAGAAAATAGACGCATGTTTCTCAGTCACGTTACCGAAACTCACGTGCCATTTTAAAAGCATGTTTAAAGCATGTCAGTTAATTCCTTTGTTTCCCCCGTAGTTAAGTGTTTATTTTTAAGACATTGTTGGTTATTTGTTCAAATAACTGATATTTGTGACAAAAAAAGGTGTATTTTAATAAAAAACATAAAGCGATTTTTTTTCATTTGAAAGAAGACCAAAAAGCCTCAAGTTTATCCATTTTTTAAAATAATTTAATTTATTAAACAATTCTATAAATGATGGACCAAACAAAACTGACAAAAACAGTGGTTTACCTTTATTTATTTATTTTAGAAAAAAAAAGAGTAACAGGAATGAACACTTGGTAGCCTATTAGGAATGAAAATTGGGTAACAATGAGTGTCCATATGTGTGTGTATGAGAGAGAGTTACATGAACATGACTGTGTGTGCATGAGATTTCTGTGTTGAAGTGATGTAGGTACTCTGTCTGTGCCAGTAATACTTCACAGTGAAGGAGGTGGAAAGAGAAAGAAGGAGAGAGAGGAGAAGAGAGAGTGAGGGAGAGAGAGACAAAAAGAGGGAAAAGAGAGGGTTTCTGTGTGTTTCACTCTTTCCCTTGCAGGATGTCGGGTGGGTGTTTCTGGCACCTGAATAGTATGGGTTCTCTCAATCTTCTACAAAATATAAGAAAGACGAAGACAAAAAGTTTAAGTCACTTCGTGGTGGACTGGTTCCCTGAAGCATGGTATTCACAATGTAAAACTAATACTAATGTCTAATTTAAGTAATTAAAACTCATAATTCAGGTGAATAGTATATCAACTAATGTTTACAATATTAAATCAACAAAACAGAGGACTCTACTCATTCATAAATGAGTACATGACAAATACATGACATATGGCCACATAGCATAATAGAATGAGGACACTGAGCAAATTCTAGTGACTTACCAAAAGTTAATATTTTTAAAATAAATAAATAACATCTAAGAAACAATTTAGGTAACAGGACAGTTAGCCTACGCTGAGATTGACCTTCTCAGTAATATTTACAATTTATTCAAATATACAGAAATTAAAATAGGAGGACTTACGTATAGTCTTCCAATTGCCTTCAGAAGATCCTTCCTGTTGAAAAATGTGTCTTGTGACATGTTCCAATTTTTTCAGAGGGGGGAATATGTTAGGGTGAAAAGTGAGTGAAAACCTGGGGACACGACTAAAATGTGTATTTTATCTAAGATATTAGATTAAATATTTTTTTCTCATAAAAAAACAAACATTTTAAGCATAAATTAGATATAAAGTCACACAACAATTCGACAAAAATAAGATTTCTGAAGGATTTTAATCATTAGGCCTACCCTATATTGCATGGTAAAGTTTGTGAGGACATGCAAAAAATGCTATTGCTATTTTATGTATGTTTTTAATTATACATTTTAAATGTGCCGTTATAGCTTAATGTGCACTTTGCTTAATAATAAAATGTATTTTAGAGTTTATTTTCATGCATTTTATAATGTCCTGGGGACAAAAATGTCATCGGTGGAATGGCTCAGTCTATGACAGATTGTAGGCCTATTCACTCTCTAGCGGGATTTAAATGTTTTTTCACTGACAATCATTTAAATTTACCCTGTAATCTTGATTGTTTGGCCGTTTCATATAGTTTAGCGTAGGCTACATGATGATGGTTAATTCTAGAAGAAATGGAAACATTTTACTAGGCCTACATCAAATTAGTTTCAAAAAGAAAAAAAACTCTAGATGCAGGTTTTTCACGGCATATAAAATGTTTTTAAGCTTGACATGTCGTCCTGCTGAATGGCTACACTGGAAAAAAAAGCAGCGTGGTCAAAAACATCCGTTGAATGTTTACAATAATAGCATAGCCAAACAATAATAAAAAAGGGTAATGAACGTTTTGTGTGAACCGAGATAACCAACACATTCTGGTGCCATTGATTTATGACCAACACCATCAGCTGTTCTTGTAATAGCCTAATGTTGTTCCAAGTCACATATATTTCCAGGATAAAAATGTGTCAACCGTAAACAGAAATACTGTTTTGTGGTGTGTTGCTATCATCGAGGATGCGCCGCGTTTCTGTCACCAAAGAAACTTCCTGTTCTAAATCTGACCGCACGATGAACATTTATTCCTCCTCATCAGTGACCGCGGATCTGGTCCATAGACTGTAAAAGGGTCTGGTCCGAGCAAACACGAGTAAAGGCGCTCTCC